AGGCCAGCAGCAGCATGGGCTGTTACCTGGACTGCTGTATCTCTCTCAATTGCTCAATGGTGCATATGAATGAGCTCAACCCTGGCTAACGTTGCCCATGTGGCTAGGTAAGCAAACCAGATCTGGTGCATTGCAGCTCCATAGTGGCCAACAGGCTGCATGTACAACAACTCCACTTTATGGAAAAAGCAGGAAGGGAACAACAAGGGACAAATGCTCCTCCCCGGCGGACCTGGAAGTGGACTGGAAGTGCTTTTGGTCCACTTCCAGATCTGCTGCCGAGCATGCTGGGGAGCACCCCCGTGCTTCTATGGGACACTCCATGTGCTCCATCATCACAGCACTCACGAGCCACCTGGTACCTCGAGGTATGTAGAAAAAACATTTAAAGCTGTGTCTATTTCCGAATCTCCGAAGCTTTCCTATTCGATTCGGAGAGATTAAAGGGTCTCCTGATTCAATTCGGATTCGGAGATTCAGCCACCGAATTGGGCCAAATCAAATCAGGGACCGACACTTCGCACAGCCCTACCAGTTAAATGTGCCACTAATCTGAGTAGCAACAGCCCTAAGAAAACTGCACATCACTTCAGGCAGTTATTGTTAACCCCAGCTGTTAGCTTAACCTCCCAGTGGCAAACAAGGGAGATTGCTTTCTCTTTGGATCTTTGCCCATCTAGATTTGAGAGCTTTGGGAGAAAAGGATTGTCTTACTATATGCATGTAAACAAGGCCCCTTAGCTGGGAGATCGTATAATATGAATTACAACTTCCCCTAGCTTGGAGATGCTCAGAATGAAGATTAGGGGCTTTCTGGATAAGCATCAAAGTTTTAGGGATCTCGCCAGCACAGTAGATCTGCTTTGCATGCACTCTATACGGCACATGCCCTGGCATTAACAAGTCCAAGACAAATACTGTATCATTTTCCCACACTGCACATGCTAACTGCCAATCCTCCTGAACCCACCCTGGGAAACAGAAACCCCAGCGCTTCTCTCAGCAGCACAAGAAGGAAAATACTAGCAAACGAGCCATTAGTCTTCCTGTAGCTGGAACAGTTTCTGCATGTAAACTTGTCAGTCACTGAAAGACCAAGGAAACCCACAGGCCCCACGCAGAACCGAGCTCCCGGCCCTGCGTTCAGTGATAACCTTTCATCTCAGGATGTGTACAGATGAAAATAATGTACTGAGGAAGGGGAAGCTAGAAACATATAAACCAGCCTCCATGTTTTGGCAGTTGGCCAGGCCCCACTTCCCTATCTATAATGTACTAGTTAACTGTATGCAATCATGTCCCTTTAGCGATTGGCCCGCGGAGACAATACAAGCCTCAAAGCTAATGCAGAGCCTCCCTTGGCCCAGCGAAGGGCATCTCATCTTTTGAAAATGAAGCCAGGGCCAGAGAGGACCTTCGTATCTCCAAGTTCAGTCCTCTATCTTTGCCACATGTTAAAAGGGCCCATTACACCTAAGCACAGCTGGCTTCACTACAATACTGCTTCTTCACAGAAGCAAGCAGGATGCCCAGCACGTTCAACAATTTCCCAACAAACTTTACTTCAAAAGAACCAAACTGCTATACCCTATTTAATGAAAAGAAGTTTGCCAGGCAAGCTTGCTTTCAAAGAAAGTAAAAATATCCAGCTCCCTGAAGCTTGTTCACAAAGGAGAAATGTGGGTGAGACCTGAACCTGGTAGGGAAAAGATTATGGCTAGGAACAAACCTTGCATTTGTCCTGGGACTAGTTGTGCCTGTGGTTGTCCCAGAGCATAAAAAGCCCAGGATTGGTGTGCATACAGTGTCCTTCCAACGGCGGTTTACTGAACAGCTGAATATACTGCCACTTTTCTGCCGTTGATCCACTTCTACAATCCTGGGACAATTGCTCAGATGTACTGTGCAATGTCTTGGGACAAACTGTTAACACTTCTTATCCCCTGAACCTTTTCAGGGTTTGTCCTAAGACAACATACATGGATGTCTGAACAATCACACTTTATTCCAAGACAATGCAACATCTTTTTGTAGCCTAAGGGAAATAAAAATAATCAGGGATCCATCAGAGAACCAGGACCACTATGGTCTTAAAGCATTTTGGCCATTAGAGAGCACCAGAAGTGCCGTCTGGCAGAGATGGCCCATGAAGTCCTCCAGCAAGTCTCACACGGAAGAAAGAGTGCTGGAGTTAAAGAAAGAAATCATCAAACCAAATCCAACCAACAGGATTTTAAGCTACCTTCTATCCACCAGTGGGCCACCTTTTTGCTAATGTACTCAGCTCGGCCTAGCTTGTGCCCTTATTCTGTTTCTGTTGTGTGTATTAAAGAAGATGAAACCAAACCAGACCCTAACTCTGGGATCTGGTGTTCAGGGAGCTCTGGCAGAGGCTTTGCTCTCCATTACCAGGCTCTCTCAGGTGGGGCCCAGACTACAGTGTTAATTCCCCTAACCTCATCTTTCTGGTTCACATTCATACTTGACCTCTGCGGAGACTTAAGGGGCGCATCCAGATGAGCCCGGCCATGTGGTATGGGGCACTGCAAACACATCTGCAATGCTACATAGCGCACAGCCCGGTGTTCTCTGTGCTGCAAGGGCGCGCTGCCCATGTGTGCGCTGCTTCAGTTTTTTTTCTGCGGGTTTTTTGACTCCTGGATATCCCATGGAAAAACTGGAGCAGCGCACACTTGGGGCAGTGAGTGCTGCTGAAAAGCGGAGCCGGGCTGCCCAGAGCCATGCTGCAGCTGCCCTCCAGGCTCTGCCCTTGCAGGATCACTGCAGCTGCAGCCCCAGAAGGCCCAAAGGACCCCAGGTAAGGCTGCTGGCCCCAGCCTCCCTTACTGCACCCAGGGTAACTTGCTGGCACCAAAGTGTGCATGGCATGGGTGTTCCCTTAGGATAAGTTGCGGCGGCACAAGATGCACCACTGCTACTTGTCCCTGGGGAACCAAACGTCCATGCTCATCCGGATGTGCCCAAGCAGTACAATTCAGCAGCTGAAGATGAGGCTGCTCAGAAAAAAGGGAGGGTTAGGGAAGAAGATAAACCCTCAACTCTCAGCCAGTCCTAGACACAGGTTTCACAAGCCAGGGCCTGTGCTCTGCTCAGGGGAGCAGTTACCGTTCTCCCTGCCACCCTCCTGCCCTGCGTTGTAACAAGCCTGGCGTCTTTGGGGCCCTCACTTAAGGAAACGTCTCACAAAAAGTTTTTTTTAAAGGAATTAAGGCCTTTCTCTAGCACTGCCACCACCTCTTGTGTTTGGAGAGGAAGCGAGGAGGGACTGATATTTTTCCAGTGTAGAAAGCTCATCCCCACTGGTGCCAAGAGATGTAAGTAGTGACCAGAGCCGGAGGTCTGCTACTCTCGTTCCATCGTAGCCACCCTCCCTTGGGGCTCCACGTTCCTCTGGCAGCTCGACGGGAGCCCCAGCAGCCAGGCAGTAGATAGACCAACATGGCCTGGCTGGGCAGACTGGGCTGCACCTCCCACCCCATGCAAGTGAGAGATGACAGAGGAACAAGCGAGGCGCTGGTGTGGGGCTGGTGGGCATTTCGGAGTCTGTAGTGACTTATGTTGGCTCCGAGTCGCACCCATGCTCTTTGCTGAGAAGTTTGGGTGGACAGCCAGGCTTGCTTGCCTTATATCTGGAAGCCAAAGGATGCATTGAACCCATCATGCAGAGTTCTTGAAAACCACAGGACAGAGTAACAGGGTTTAGCAGTTGCCCAAGGTGGCCGGGTCAGGAGCAGTCACTGAGGCTGCCTATATACTAGCAGCGAACCTGCTCCAATGGGCTGTAATTACAGCGTGTTGGAGCGGACTTGATTAAATCGAGCCTGCTGGAGCGTTGTAATTACTGCAGTCCAGCAGCCTCCAGAGTCCTGTGTATCAGCATTTCCACACTTAAAAATGGCAGCGGGAGTGCCTTATCTAAAGCTGGTTCAACAAGCTTTATCTAAAGTGCCACTGTGGCCATTTTTAAGCGTGGGGACACTGATACATGAGCCGCTCTGGGCGCTTTAACTAGAGCAGCTCTCGGACCCACTCTAATTAAAGCACCCCTCTCCCACACACAGAGCACACGTATAAATGCCCTGAAAAACCAATACGTGCCAATCGGGCTAGCCCCTCTTGCTAAGAGACTATAAACCCCCAGTTTCCATCAGGAGCTGTAGGTTTGTTTGCTTTATTTCCTCCCTTTCGAAGCAGCTCCCGAAGAGCCACCGCCTGCCTTCAGGGCTGGTCTCACATACCCGTAAAACAACACCGACTTTGGAAACCAAGCTATCCCGGGGGCACCACAACCCATGGCTCTTCAGTAACTCATGGGCTGGGCCTACCTCCATTCGGGGAAACAGGGAAAAAAATGAATAACCTCCTCCCTATAGTTCACGTGCCACAAATCATAAACCTGTCCCTCGCTGCTTTTTTGCTTCGAAAAAATGTTTAACAGTCACAGCAGCAGGCAGTGAGGATTTTCTAAAAAACCTTTCCTCCAGGGAGCTGAGCAAAATCGGCAGGCTGTGCGCAGTGGGTACAGGTTATACATCACAGACATGCAGGCCCCTCTGGGCAGAACACAGCAACCCTTTACCAGACCAGTGGTAACATTTAACAGTTAACAGCTCAGCTAACTTAACCGCTCAGCTAACAGTTCGGAACAGAAAATGAACACTGTCTGGAGTTGAAACCATGGGGAGGCACAAGGAAGTGAATTAGTTTCCCATGGAGCTAGAAAACTGGCAAAGCACTGCTGCCCCAGATCTCCCCGGGTGCCAGGCTGGCAGGGCTGCACATTTACTTCTTCCCCCCAAAGTGGCAGAGCACAGAGTCAAACGGCTGAGCCAATCAAAACCTGGCAGCACGAGCACAGAGCTCAATGGCTTGCCAGCAGGCGTAAAACAACTGGCATGTGTGGAGGGGAGGCTGTTTGGAGCGTCTCATCGCTTCAAAAGTAAGAGCTGCAGCCCTGGGGTGAGCCGGAAAAACCTTACCCAATGATGTATCCGAGGACCACGAGCTGGATGAGCCGGAAGGTGAGTCCCACCTTCTTGTTCCGCACCAGCACCATCCTGGGGGTGTCATATTCAAACAGGAACGAAGACACTTTCTCCATGAATTTGTGCCCCATGGCTGATGCAGCAGGTCCCGGTCTCAAGTGTGCACAAGTCTGACTCCAAAGCAAACACGGGCTCCGTTGCTTCTGCTTGTCGAGGGCGGAGCTCCCGGGTCAAGTCTTGTTTGCTCAGTACCTAGCTGTGCTGTCCTCTGCACATCTGGAGAGGCTGTAAGGGGCTGGGAGCTTTCTCTTCCTATAAGCTAATGCTGGGTACTCAGTGTCTCCTTAGATGGTCTGGGGGTGGGGACTTGGGTGCATATGGGAAATAACCAGCCCAGACCACCCTGCAGCACAGCGATGGCAAGGCACTGCATGGAAGGTCAGGGCAGCAGAGCTCAGAGAGACACGAGAATAAATGATCCTGATGCCTGGTAGCGGAGCAGGGCTTCTGACAGGACAGGGATTGCCATGTACAGCTTCTCAGAAAGTGAAAATCATCTGCAGGTAACAACCCGCAGCTGGTAGCAAGAGGTGGAAGTTGGGAAATCCCAGTGGTATTGGCTGGAAGATTGTGGTGGGTTACTTCAAGCTAACGGGTCCTCCGTTCCCTTCCTGTGGTGCCTGCTGCCCCACACAGCCATATCCTGGGAAATAATGTCTTTGGGGTTTTTCCTGTGCTTATATTTTCCCTTCATGCAAGCAGGAAATCACGCTGTTCAGTAGCATCCTCCAGAGACCATCGCCTTGTTCTTTACCACACTCCACGCTTGATGTTGGCACTGACCAGGGAGGTCAGGGCAGGGGGTCAGGAGCACAAAGCAATGACCCACGCCTAGGAGCTTGGATCTGAGCACTTGAGTAGTGCTCAGCTCCTAGGGCTTTATATGGTCCTTCTAGAGACAGAGGCACAAAGTCTAGATTGTGCACATCCCTGAGGTTTGACTCAGCTGTGCTCAGATATGATGCTCAGCTTTGAGCTGATTTTCCGTAAATGCAGCATTACAATATTCCTGTCCCAACTGACCAGCCCTTACAGGAAGATCCTAAAGTGAAAAGACTACGTCTTGGAGCAGGAAACGTGCTTTAGAAACATTAACCAAATCCCACAATTCATTTGGGACACAAGTAGCCTCTTCTGCTACTAATGGGGAAATGGATGCTGAAAGGCTTTGGGATTTGCCCAAAAGGAGAGAATCCACCAGAGTAAGATCAAGAACATAGGAGCTTCCAATTCCCAGGCCTGTGAGCAGAGGGCTAGCCCCAGCTTCATTTATTAACTGCCACTTGCAGTGTCACTAGCTTATGGAGACATGTGTAGTCTCATTTCTAACCCTGCCTCCCCAGCGTGTACAGTGCGGTCCTCTGACCACAGTGAAAACTTTGATGCATATCACAGCTTTATCACTCCAGCCTGGCACGAAAGAGGTGGTTGTGAGAGCAGTAGCAGAATACAAAGGGGGTGGGGTGGGGGGGTGTAACGGGCAAGCCAGGGCACCAGCCCCAGATGCCAACCCAAGAGGAGGGGATTGGGAGGCTTTCCAAAACAGCAGCATTTGTTCCATCAGTCCAGTAGCTGCCATGCATTGTGGCCATGATGCTGCCCCATGTGCCACTGCTGCTCACATGTCCCGTTCCACCTCCATGTGACAGAGGCCAGGACAGTTCATGCAGCATTAGCTAATAAGGAAGGTAAACGTCACTAGTCCCCAGGAGTCACTATTTTGGGTGCAACACACCTGGGTGTGCAGCACGTTCATCTTTAGGTTCACTCGTTCTCAACAGTGCAGACGCAAAAGCCAGCCCAAACTGCCAGATTTCTCAGCCAAAGCTTGTGAAACTGAGACCTGCCCTTGATGCCCACACATGGCTCATGGAATCAGCCCACTTAATGAAGAACCAGAAAAACTGCATAGCTTTGGAGTAAACCTGAACTGGGTTTCAAGCCAGTAACTAAACTGAAACCAAGGCACAGAGTTTAGGCTACTGCTTGAGGCTTCACTGAGAGTGTTTGGATTGATCCTGATAGCAATCCTCATGCTCAAGGCATGGGCCAGGGCCTGAAAGTTTTCTTTAACAGGGGTAGCCGCACAGCCCTGCCTTCATCCTCTTTGCTCCAGTTGCATGGTGAAATGGACCTGGGAGTCTGCTCAAATGGGTATTCAGGTCTCAGTGCTTGCATGGCACAAACCTGGTACAGCCAGCTCTTTGGAACAGTCCTCAGCACTGTGTGGGTCCCAGGGTTGTCCCCAAACCAGATACTCTTTGCTCTGGCAATCCTTAAATAGTGGAATAGGATTTGGAGAGGGGAGGGGCATTCCAGGAGAAACAAGCAAGAGCCTCTCTGGGGTTGCTCTACTTTGTGTCAGGGGCTGAAATAGCCCGCAGTTCAAGATGGGAGACAGGGGAGGTGCTAGAAAGCCCTTTTACCTATGCAGAGCACAGGTCAGGTGTTCCTGAGGATCTGGCCCACAATACTTAGCACGTGCAGTAGCTGTTCATTGCGATCTGTAGAA